CCCCCCCCCCCCCCCCCCATGATCATATCACCATGCGATCACATCACCCCCTGGGACATAGCAAGAACTGCAGATGCTGGAGTCAGAGTTGATACAGTGTGGAGCTGGAGGAACACAGCAGGTCAGGCAGCATCAGAGGAGCAGAAGAATCAACATTTCAGGCCAGGACTGGGGAGGGGGAAGGGAGCTGGGAAATAATTAGGGGGAAGAGGGGTGAGGCTGGGGAAGGTAGGTGGGATGGTGTTAGGTGGATACAGGTAAGGGATAGTGGGGATTGGTCAGTGAGATGGGTGTGACTTATAGGTGGGAGAGAAGATGGGCAGGTTGTGTCAGGTCAAGGAGGTGAGAGGGAGGATAGGTGGGGCTGGGGAAAGGAGGTGGGATGGTGATAGGTAGATACAGGTAGGGGGGGGTGGGGATTGGTCAGTGGGAAGGGTGGGGTAGATAGGTGGGGAAGGAGATGGACAGGTTGTGTCAGGTCAAGGAGGCAGGGATGACAGGGAGGTTTGGATGTGGGGAGATTTTGAAACTGGTGAATTCTATGTTCAGGCCATCGGGCTGTAGGCTCCCAAGGCGGAATATGAGGTGTAAAAACAGAAGTTGCTGGAAAAGCTGAACAGGTCTGGCAGCATCTATGAAGAAAAAATCAGAGTTGACGTTTTGGGGCTGGTGACCCTTCCTCAGATCTCCCCCCTTGTTCTGAGGAAGTGTCACCGGATGTGAAACGTTAACTCTGATTTTTTCTTCACAGATGCTGCCAGACCTGCTGAGCTTTTCCAGCAACTTCTGTTTTTGTTCCTGATTTACAGCATCCACAGTTCTTTCGGTTAGAATATGTGTTGCTCCTCCAGTTTGCGTGTGGTGTCATTGTGACACTGGAGGAGACCCAGGATGGACATGTCACCCAGGGAGTTGGGGGGTGGGGAGTTAAAATGCTTGGTGACCGGAAGGTGTTGTTTGTCGTGTACAGAGCGTAGATGCTCTCCAAAACGGTCTCCAAGTCTCCGCTTGGTCTCACCGATGTAGAGGATGCCACATCGCCGCCTTCGCCACCCCCTCCATCACACCATCCGTAACATCTCCCCTTACCACATTCCCCATCAGCACTCCCCCCAGTTCCAGCCTTCT